TTCCTTAAAGCAGGATCTGTCAGTTCTGCTTACAGCACTGAAGCCCACAGATCCTGATTGCTGCCACACCTAGCAGAGCAAATGCCCATCTGTTATTACATATTCCCATACAATATCAGTGTTTTTGCTCTGTTGACTGCTCATGTCACACATCTTGAACAAGTGTTCCCAACCCTCGCATGTTTTTTGATTAAGACAACAAAAATTAAAATCTAAAAAGAGCACAAACATGAAAGCCTTTTGAGAATATTAAGGTAGATGAAAATGACAATAAATAAAAAATTGAAATTCCCTTTTTACAAGCCAATGGCACAAAAATATTTTCTGATTACAGCACCCTATGTACACATTTTCTAAGTGGTATTTTTTCTATCTCTGAGAACTAAAACCAAATTTACTAATCACTCATCAAAAATAAGAAAATAATTAATATCTAACAGAACAGGTGATCTGTACAAAGACATGTCATGTACACATTTATGGAAGTGAGATGGAAGGAATTACAGAGTCCAGCCATTGTCTAAATCTTTGTGTAAGGAGAAAGTAAGGCAACATCATGAAGTTCACACCTGCACAATTAAGAAGTGGTTGCTCCTTGTATTCAGACGTGAAGTGTTACTGTACTGCTACACAAATCAATACCTTGTTATCCTTTCACATGCACAGAAACTAAGCCATATAATGGAAAGTTTCACACATCTTTTTAAGCATAAGAATCTGAGTCAATTTTGCCTTGTGGCTTCCAAAACAGTTTCTGTCCTTCTCTTCAACCAGAGATATTTCAGAGAAAATTTGCAGAAAAACAAAAAACAGAGAACGTGTAACATCAGTCTTTTCCAATAAAAGTGATATTCACATTAAATTTAGGAAAGAGAAATACGAGAAAAGATTAAAATAATTAAAAGTGTTCATTGAAAAATAATTGTGAATCCATTTTTAAAATAGAGGAATGAACACCTTAAATATACAACACAAAAATTAAAATTTGGTTTTAGATGATGCTTATGAGAGTAAAAAAAAGAAAAAAATTATACTCAAGTGTTAAACACATTTGCACAACAAATCATATCAAAACCAGGGTAAATATTACAATGCAAGAAATAAAGTCTTAAGGTGTCATTGGTCAGCCTGCAAAATCAGTATTGAACAAACTCAGCCTTATTCAAAACTGAATTCCTCACCTCACCAACAGAAAGGGCAGGAAGCTGCTGCCCTTGCACATGGAGACCCCATACAGTGGCTCTGAGCTCAGAGGCTCCCATGTGGATCTGACTTTGGTGGGCATGGTCTGGAGGAGAAGGAACCTGTCAGAGTCGTCTACACCAGTACAAGAGGTTACTATGGCTGCATCTCAAGGTTTTCAACACTACTGGCTGTTGTTGAAAGTATTTATACATAAAGTGGGGAGTGGTGTTGGGGGATTGTCTAAGATTCACAAGGATATTAAGAGACTCAAGAGTTTACAGCAACAATTTAAGTTCTAAACCAGCCAGGTGCGGTGGCTCATGCTTGTAATCCCAGCACTTTGGGAGGCTGAGGTGGGCGGATTGCTTGAACTCAGTGAGGAGCTCGAGATCAGCCTGGGCAACACGATGAAACCCCATCTCTACAAAAAATACAAAAAAAAATTTAACTGGGCAGAGTTGTGCACCTGTGGTCCTAGCTACCTGGGAAAGTGAGGTGGGAGGATTGCTTGAGCCCCAAAGTCGAGGCTCCAGTGAGCCAAGATCTTGCCACTGCACTCCAGCCCAGGTGTAAGAGCGAGATACTGTCTCAAAAAAACATTAACTTTCTTTTTTTAAAAATGTTCTAAACCTACAGCTTTATTCAAGGTACAGCTGAAAGTACTGGTGTAGGTGCAAGGCATGCAGGTTGTTACATTTTTTACTTCATTATGGAAAAGCACTGTGGTTAAAAGAAGAGGCTCTGGGCCAGGCACAGTGGCTTACACCTGCAATCTTAGCACCCTGGGAGACAAAGCAGGGAGGATTGCTTGTGGCTAAGAGTTCTACACTAGCATGGGAAACATAGGAAGACCCGGTCTCTACCAAAAAAAACAAAATTAATTAACCAGGCATGGTGGCTTGTGCCTGTAGTCCTAGCTATTCAGGAGGATGAGAGGGGAGGATCATTTGATCCCAGTAGTTCAAACACAGAATCTGCTCTACGATTGAGTCACTGTACCCTAGTTGGACAACAGGACAAAATCCTCTCTCTCTTAAAAAAGAAAAAATACAAAACAATCTCTGGAGAGAAAAGTATTGTCCTAAATAGACTCTCTTAATCATAAGACAGTGTAGGCTGGGTGTGGTGACTCACACTTGTAATCCCAGCACTTTGGGAGGCCGAGGTGGGCAGATCACCTGAGGTCAGGAGTTCGAGACCAGCCTAGCCAATATGGTGAAACTCCATCTCTACTAAAAATACAAAAGAATTAGCCAGGTGTGGTGCCGCACACCTACAATCCCTGTTACTCGGGAGGCCGAGGCACAAGAATCGCTTGAACCCAGGAGGCGGAGGTTGCAGTGATCCATGGTTGCGCCATAGCACTCCAGCCTGGGTGACAGAGTGAGACTCTGTATCAAAAAAAAAAAAAAAAAAAAAAAAAAAAAAAAAAACAGATAATAATAAGACTGTGAAATTTGCACAAAGATAGAAGAAACAACCAGTAACTTAAAAAATAAAAACAGAGCTAGAAAGCAGAAATACACATATATAAAAATTAATTTATACATTGATGCATGGGGGAGAGATCAGTTTTTAATAAAATGTTCCAGGAAATTGAATATTCACAGGGAACAACCAAGATACGACCTTTGACCTCACATACACACAAAATCAATTCCACTTGGTTCATAGGCTTAAATATAAAAATAATAGAGTATTCAGAACACAATTTAGGAAAATATCTTCATGACACAGGGTAGAGTGAGCTGTCTAACTAGACCTGAAAATTATTTAGCATGTCAGACAAGACACATTCTACATAGTCGAAGTGAGCAAAGACTGGGGCAGACAGTATCAAACTCAAGGTTCCTTTATACCTTTCCCGCAGAAAGTCAGCTCAGACTCCAAAACGGAGCACAGGAGTGAAAATCGTGCTCACTTCTTGAGATGTCAGTGTGCACTGTAGGAAATGATAACATACAAAGCATGCAGTATATTATCAAGCCTATACTAACCTCTAAAAATTAATTTTCTAATAAATTGTGGGATATATCATTTGTGTCCATTGTAACATGTCATTACTTCATACACCAGAATGGAAGAACAAAACCACTAACAAATGAAGAAACTAATACTTTTATCACTTATAAATAAATCACATAGAATAATATAAATACATTATAATTACTGGAAAACTATTTTCATGTGCATACATGTGGATATTTGTCTTGTGTCATTCCTATATTACATGGGATGGAACATACAAGAAAAACACATTGACAAGGTTTTCCTAAATTTTCTCTCATTCAGCTGTAACGCTCCTGAATCACTCGTCAATTCATCTTGCCATAATTTTCCCCGTATTATTATGACCTGTGCTAATCTGAAGCTTGGTGATGCTGCACTTCTTGTGAGATTCCTATGTTGCTCCTGTGAGTTTATCTTTCCAACCTTCTGAAACCTTCTATGCAAGATATGATGTTAATGATATGACCTGAAATGTCAATGGAAGGTTTATAGACCAAGCTCATGTATATGTAAATGAGGACAATAACATTATGGTTGCCTTCTCGTCAATAGTGTTTTTAACACTGTCAAATTTAAGGTGCACCTGTGTTTCATAAACGTGAAAATGTGCCCTCTACGATGAGTGGAATACACTGTCCTCTGTGACTGCCAATTTCTCAGTGTTAGATTATGGGGGCTCATCAACTGTATTCTTACCTGTTATTGAAGGAATATGTTTAAATATTATCACATAAGTTTACCAAGTGCATTTACATTCTACGTAGCTATTAGACACATTAGAGTTACTAGTGGAACACTAGAATTCTTATGTTATGCATGGAAACGTAGTTTATGAACTATGGTTTAAGAAATCCACTGAGGAAGAAGATGGCAATTATAAAGAGTTACTTGAAAATTCACTAGAGTGATAGCTTTCTAAAGACCTAGAAAAAGCTGTATCTTGAAACTTTCCACTGCAGTCTTAGGAATATAACCAATGATCCTTGTAAGCTTCATTATAAATTCCATTCTTTCAGCTATAATATTTATGTAACTCTTTTTTCTTCATTCCCTTTTGCCGTTTTAACCATATGGCTGGTGATCACAGAAATCACTTTATACTTAGTCACTGCAGACGTAGATGCATAATGGTCTTTATAAAATGTTTTAATCTGTCCCCTTGCTACTCTGGTCAACCCTAATTTGGGTACTTGGATTTGGGACTGGTTTTGATGTTCCCTCAGGAATACACTGATAGAAGAAGAAACACATAAAGTATGAATTTCTGTATACCCAAAATTCAGTCAACCTCCTAAACGATGGGAGTTTCTTTATGTGTATGCAGAAACTCACATACAAAAACAAAACTCACAGAATTTAGGAGGTTGACTGAATTTTCCCCTACAGTTTTAAATTCCAGCAAGGCTAAATTAAATACACATAGTGTCATGTTCTCAAATATCCAAGACATTCTTCCACTGAACTCCAACTTCTAATCAGGTTAGAGTGTGGAGTCCAAGTGTTGGGTATTTGCCTCATGATCTGGTCTAGAATTTGGTTTCTTTTAAATGGCATCTCTTTTAGAATTGTGATGTCCAGGCCAACCTCTAAGGAACTGTTGGTTTAAGGTATTGTGGGAAATCACATCTTCCATGCAGTTAGAGTGTGTCTGGGAACTCCCTGCTCAGCACTTTGTCATCTGCTTTCTCCACTCACTAGCATCCAACTGCAAAATCCTGTTGTGTAAAAGATTCATATCCAGGTCTCTGTAAGTAGGGTGTGGCCTAAACCCATTTGTTAGAAAACGTTTGTTGTACTCTGCTTACCTGCTACCTTGGTGGCTTTCGGGCTGGCAGTGGGCAATAGAAGGCATGGTCCCGGACAATTCCTGATGGAGTCTGTAGAATGAAAAGAACTAAATTAGGACATATTTTTCTGAAAGGTTTGAAGGTACAGTTGTCTTCTGATTACTTGAAGAAGAAATCCCTGTACCAAGAAAACACTATCCTGAATGCAGAAATATGATTTATGTTCCCTGTCACTGGAAATTTCTAATTCTTAGCTTCTAATATCTGAGTCATAGCTCCCAAAAATGCTTCAATGGGATCCTGAATATACACTGCTCAATGATGTCTGCACAGGGGCTTTCTGGATAAGTGAAGGAAAGGCAGCTTTTTCTGAACAAGTGGTTGCTGACATTCCAACTGGTGACTGGGTAACAGAGAAGGAGAAAAAGGACGACAGTCCTAGAGCTTGATGGTTGCCTTCCCGAGGCAGGTGTACCTGGGTTTGGAAAGGCGAGTAGATAAAAAATGCTCATTTTCTATTCTGTCCCTATGTGCCCATTCATCTCTGGAAGCCAAAGATTTTTGCTTATGTCTTTGTTTTCTTTTTTAAAGATACAATAATTTAGAAAACAAATTTATTTTGAAATAATTGCAGATTTACAAAAAGACCACACAGTAGAACAGACAGTTTCATATACCCTTCAGCTAACTAAAATGTTACTATTACAACTATAGATATTCATGAAAACTAAGAATTTCACTATGTTTTCAAACTATTAACTGATCTACAGATTTCCTTCAATTTTACCAGAATTTCTAATAATGATATGTTTATGTGTTCCAAGACCTAATCTCGATACCACATTGCAATTACTGTCAAGGTATATTACTTAAGACTTGGTGCATACAGACTACTATACATCTTAGTGGTTCAAAAGCACACACATATTACTCACAGTTTCTCTGGGTCTTCAGTCCAGATGTAGGTGATGGCCCAGGCTAAGGCTCAGCTGGGGAAGGGTCTCCTTCCAAGCTCATGTAACTATTCTTAGGATTAACCTCTCTGACCTCATCAAGAAAATTCATCAGTGAATTATTATAATCATTTAAAAAAATTAATACTATTTCATTACAATTATTCCAAAAAAAGTGGAGAAAACATGATTTCCCATTGTATACTGAGTTAGTTTACCCTGATACTGCAGCCAGACAAAGACACTTCAAATAGGGAAAATGAAGAACAATATACCTTATGAATACAGGGACAAAAATCATCAAGGAAATATTAGTAAAACAAAGCAGAAACATGTAAAAAGTATTGTATGCTATATCAAGGGTATTTACCTCAGGAAAGCAAAATTTGGTTCAACATACAACTAGTGCTATGCACTGTATTCATATATAAAGAACAAAAACCACATAATCATCTCAGAAGATGCATAGGCACTTGAGAATTTTCCAACTCCTCATGAGAAAAATATGCAGCAAATGACGCAGATAAGGGAACTGTCTCCCTTTTAAAGGGGATCCGCGAAAAACTACTGTATCATCATAAGTTATCTGAAACGTTCACTAATTTCTCCAAGATTAGAAACAAGACACGGATTTCCACTCTTGACACTTGTTTTCAACATTGTACTAGAGGATACAGACATGACAGTTAGTCTAGAAAAATAAATATAAGGCTTCCAGGATGGAAAGGAAGTCAAACTCTGTCTGTTGGCATATGACATGATCTTATGTATAAAACTTCTAAAGGACTCAATCAAATATGTTTAGAATTTAGAAATGAGTTCAACAAACTTGCAGTATACAAGGTGAAGATATAAAATCCTCTGAATTTCTATATGCTAGCAATTAATAATCTAAAACAAAAAACTCAGAATGTTCCATTTGAGATGACACAAAAATAAGTTTATCAAATTAAGTATAAGATATATACACAAAAACTATAGAAAACATTTTGAAAAAAAATGGAAAAAAACTTTGACTATTCATTGCTTATAAAGGTTAATGTTGTTAGGCTGGCAATATTCTCCAAATGGATCTAGAGATTTAATGCAACCTCTATCAAAATCCCAGGTGACACTTCCTTCTTCTAAATTCACAAAGCTTATCGAAAGTTCATATATAATGCAATAGACCCAGAGTAGCCTAAATTATTTTGAGAAAGAAAAAAAAGTTGGCATGGAGATACATACTTCCTGACTTCAAAACTCACTGCAAAGTAATAGTAATCAAGATTATGGTATGTATAAGAATATAGATGTTGATCAATGTAATAGAATATAAGGCTCAAAAATGAATACATACATTTATAGTGAAATAATTTTATAATGTCACCAAATAAATTATATATGGATAAATATTTTTAATAAAATATTTCTAAGCAAGTGCATATTCCATGCAAGTCGAACTCCTGCCTCACACTGAAAATATAAGTGACTCAAAAGGATCATATATCTATATATAATAGCTAAATAGGCCCAAATATAGAAAATAACACAGGAATACATCTTCGTGGTCTTAGGTTAAACAATCTTTTCTAAGATATGATGCCGAAAGCAAAAGGGAAGAAGAAAAATCAGGCATATTAAACCTCATTAGAATGTGAAACTTTTGTGATTCACACTGCACCAACAAAAATAAAGACATCCAAAGAATGGGAGCAAATATTTGCAAACAAAAGCAAATTGGCAAATGAAACCTAATTAAACTTAGGGCTTCTGCACAGCAAAAGAAAACTATCTACAGAATGAACAGACAACCTACAGAATGGGAGAAAAGTTTTGCAACTATGCATATGACCAAAGTCTAATATGCAGCATCTATAAGGAACTTAAACAAATGTTCAAGAAAAAAAAACCAACTCCATAAAAAAAGAGGGCAAAGGACATGAACAGACACTTTCAACAGAAGATATATATGTGGCTAACAATCATATGAAGAAAAGCTCAACCTCACCGATCCTGAAAGAAATGCAATTAAAAATCACAATGTGATACCATCTAACACCAGTCAGAATGGCTATTATTAAATAGTCAAGAAATAGATACTGGCAAGGTTGTGGAACAAAGGAATTACTTACACACTGTCGGTGGATGTTAAATTAGTTCAACCACTGTAGAAGGCAGTGTGGAGACTACAAGAAGACCTAAAAACAGAAATATCATTTAACCCAGCAATCCATTACTGAGCATATACCCAAAGAAATAAAAAGTGTCCTGTGAAGAAGACACACGCATGCATAGGTTCATTCAGCTATTCACAATAGCAAGAATGTGGAATCAACCT